ATGGAGCTCGCTAGCCCTGTAAGACAATCCATCTACGTCCTGAGGACCTCGCTGCCACCGTCCAAGCGTGCTTGGCCCCGGCAGATGAACCTCAGGATTAAAGGGTGGGCTCAGTTCCGCGCACACTGTGTCTCACCTAAAAAATCCAATGCGCAGGCTGGAAGGTGGAAAGACCTTCCCCGGTTCTTCGTTCGCGAAGAGACTGGCCATTATTTATTTATTGTAATATAAAATACTGTATTATTGTAATATATAATAGACATGACTATTCTTCAAACATCTGAAAAAGCCACTGGAAATAAAATGCAGAAACCTTTTCCATACAGGGGCCAGTGTCTAGCTAGGCATAATCTGGGACTTTGGAAGCAGTTACATCCAGGCGGGTACAACGTGAGAACTCAACAAACCCTCAGTACCTTTTGTTACGCTCTTATAGAAAAAACTCTCCCCTCAGTCCTAACCACTCTGGTTAATGATGAAAAATGCCATCATTTACAACTTCACCTTTTGTCCCCTGAACCGAATGGTGGAAGTCTACTGTAGGAATAATTCAATGTGACAGCTTATCTTTTTGCCCAGCGGGGGTCTCCACTGAAGTGTGGCTATGAAAGCGATTTCTATGTTGATGATGACTGAAGCCTTTATGATTCAGATCCAAACTTGCTTAAAAAAAGCAGGAGGATCCCACTATAACACTCAACGAGTATCTTCACATTTCAAAGGAAGTGAAATTGAGATGATATATAGCGCACATGGTACTCAGACTCTTCAAAAGAAAGCCACATAAAAAATGTTATATACAGTGGCATATTGTAATAGAAGCGCTTGTAAACTCTTATTTGCACATGTTAATAAGACAGCAATGAAAATCCAGTCAGATCTAAAGCTTGGCATTGTTATTTCTTAGCCAAAGGGTTTGTTTTGAAGTGCAAACTACAGAGAAATAAACTTTATCACGGGAAAACAACAAACTTGATTACATCTCAATCACTGAAAAAAACAAAGCCAACCCTAAGAAAATTCTTGGAATACTATTCTAATTTCCTATGATTGCACTATTGTTACTGTGCTTGCAACACAATCTTCCTGTGCTTAAAAAGCAAAAATGTAAGACATAGTTTTAATTTATATGAGGACAATATCAGTGCCCAAGGTAGCAGAAGAGAGAAATGAAGTGAGAATACGTATTTTATATAAAGAAAACATACATATATAACCATATCTAAAACACTGTTATTTATGCTGAAATATATTATGAATACAGATTTCATATATGCAATAAATGTAATATATAATACACTATATATATAAAGCATAACAATATTTTCACATAATGAAAGGTCAGGATATATACATGTTTATATATTTATTATTTATATATAATGTTTTTAAGTTGCATATAGCATTGTAATATATGAAATTATAATATATGAAACATATATAAATGTGTTATAGAAAGAAATAGCTTCTAAATAGTAACTTCTATATGAAGTTAAGTTCCAGAGTAAGCTGCTTGACATATAGGAAGTCTTAAGTCTTATTTTTCATAAATGTTTTGTAAAGCTTTGAGTCTAATTAACTTACTCTGTAAGTTACTTGTAACTACATAGTAATACATTGAAAAAGCTTAAATCTGATTAGCTTAACTGAAATAATGGAATTATTTCTGATAGAAACTCACATAGGTGGGTTCATTTTTGGGGATCAATACAAACTGTCCCATAAGTTTGGATTTATCCACTGGAGGGAAAGCAAAGACTTAAATTAGCTGCATCTTCACATTCTTTCCTCCAGGTTAGTTTACATTTCCAAAAAACAAATATTCGAAATAAACCCAAGCAATTCAAACTGTCAAATACACCCCTTACATGCGCGGAGGGCCTGCTGATGCAAAGTAGTGAAAGGATTCCTTTTTTGTTGTTGTTTGTTTGTTTATATGTGCAGCT